TTTGAATATTATGATTCTATCAACAGTCCGCCATTTTGACTTTTGAAGGCAGTTTCATTTGTTACCTAGTATTGTGGATTTTGGACCAAAAAAATAATTCTTATAATATATAAAAAAAAATGCAGCAAAACATATATCTGGGTATGTAAATAAATATGAGCGAAGTCTATCTTGTAGAAACCCAGCCTACGCTATGTGTCTTGTAACACAATATTTTAATCATGCTATCAATTTTCTAATTTCCTGAGATCATACAGAAGCTTTAAGATAATACCAAGATTAAAGAGGTATCGGATTAAAACAATTTCAACAAAACAATATATCGATTTTCATGGAAATGGTTTTTATTTTTAAAAGGAAATTATGAAAGTGTATATACGTCTATGTACATTTAGAGATAAAAATGGCTAGACTTTGTTATCTCGTGTACAGATATTTCAAGTATGTCCTTACTCAATCAGAAAAAATCTATACGTACACGTATTCGATAGGTAGTTCTAATAATAAGACCAATGAACATGGTGTCTGGTCTGGTGTACGGTGCGAGGTCTTCGATACAGTAGAAAATAGAAGAAGTGAATACACGAGGTACGTGTTCGTACAAGGAGCAGTCACGATTCCCTTCTAATATTTCTACTGGCATTCGGGTATTTAGGCAGTGCATTTTTGGGCTAAGCCCAGATGTATTCTCTGGCTTTCCTTGATTTTGACCCTCCACCATAAGTAGCCTAGTTCCCTTTAAAATCAACAAAGCTATGACAGACGGATTTCAGCGGTAAAATGTTTTGTTAGCCATCTGTATTTCGGAATAATGGCGCGAAAATGAAATTTGAAATCGATACAAAATACTTCTGCTCGGCTGACTGTCTATTTGCGTACTGAAACAGCTATGTGAGCAGCTCTGCAGAGTCATTGAACTCTTACAAAATATACACTTATAAACCTTAACATCAAATCTAGAAGTATAAAATCCGTTCACAATTATTGATAGAATATTTTCTTTTGGATACTTCCCCGTTCAAAGACCTTATCTCATAGTGGACTGGGATCTATTGAAAGTCGAAATGATTTCTTATAGATCGGTTTATAAAACGAATCAATGAAAACATTGTTGAAGCACTTCTTAGTGTGCTTTTAATCTTTACTTTAAATACTATTTTCTGTTGATTGACTTTTACTGAAGATGTTTGTGTGTGTGTGTGTGTGTGAGTGTGGAGTTTCTTTGATTCTATAGATTTATAGATTACAGTACAGATAACGTGTAGATTTTAACAGTCCAAACGTCTTGATCAATAATTATGTTGTACCACTAAGATTTTGCATGGACAATTTTTTTTTATCAAATGTAGTTCATTGACATGTCCTGATTAGAGAGAAAGAGAATCGAAAAAGAAAAACAATATTTTGTTAAGGTACTCTCGATATGTATTTTGACATGCTTTTAACTGGAAATGCTTACAGTTTCAATTGATATCCGGCATTGTCATTCATATCAAATCTTGTGGCTATTAGACTCATTTCACGTCTACCGTGCATGGCCTGGCAGTATATATTGTTGGGATCACATTCTTGACTCAGCTCTTATGCTCTGAAGTTGGTTTGTTGGTAGATGGCAGGTTCCAGCGGATGCTGAATATTCAAACTATATATAGTTGTTGGTGCTCTCTTTAATATAGTTTACTATAGTTTACTATTCGCGAGAAAGTCAGTTTTATAATCCGGACAGATAGATCCCAAGCCATAGATTTCTATGTGACTAAGAAATCAAAGAGCATGTTTATCTGTTATTTCACAAAAGTGGAGTTTTCAGACTGTAGTCTTATAGAAAGTAACAAATAAATTAAAATTTTACCTTTATTGTACCACTGAAGTTTGTGATTGTAGCTATAGGAACTTTTGGGTAAACTTGGTTTGCTTTGAGTCATTGATGCAGGCAATCGACAACCTTCGGCAGGTTAAAAACTCATGTGGGTTTGAGGGGGGAATACGTTTTGTCTTAAGAAAATATCATTAACAGTTGGAAATATAAAGAATAGTCTAATATCACTATCCTATCAAATTTCCCTCTTTGCACACTAGAAGCATTGACTGTTGACATTAGTCTAACTAGGAAGTAGGACCTAGTTTGGCAGTTTGAATAAACAAATCATCATTTATTTTACGTCTCTTCCTTTAAATTTAATTAGACTAAATAAAACATCTTATTAAGACAATTGATCACAGTTGTTTTTATCGAATTTCTGTGTACAGCTCCGATCCAACTTAGTTCCATGGCTGGATGATTTAGCTATTGTTCCATTCAACACAACAACAATAATTAAAGTAGTGTGAGATGCGGATACATATTGTAGGACAGTATCAGAAGAACGAGCATCTATTCTGATGAAATATGCTTATTAAACACGAAGTTTAGACCAAAGCCATGTGTTAGTTTGTGTTCCAGATAAACCTAGTTCCAGCGTAACAATTTCAAAAAAGGGATCAAACTGAGAAAAGACTCGTTCGATTAATTTCATCGCCAGTGCTAACTACCAAAACTGACAGAAGACGAGTCATCACAAGCATCAACTACAAGAAGATGAATCATCACTATCACCAACTACCAGAAGATGAATCATCCCTATCACCAACTACCAGAAAATAAGTCATCAACTACCTGCAGATGAATCACCACTAGCCTCCACTACCAGAAAATAATTCATCACTAGCACCAACAACCAGAAGATGAATCATCCCTGTCACCAACTACCAGAAGATGGATCATCACTATCACCAACTACCAGAAGATGAATCATCACTATCACCAACTACCAGAAGATAAATCACCACTAGCCTCAACTACCAGAAAATGAGTCATCACTAGCACCAACTACCAGAAGATGAATCATCATTAGCGGCAACTACCAGAAGAGGGCATGAATCAACTACCATCACCAGTACCATGTACCACACGCTGAATCATCAACAGCACCAACTACAAGAAGATGAGTCATCACTAACATCAACTACCATAGCAGGTGAAGTATCATCACTAGCATCAACCATCAGAGGGTGAGTCATCACAAGCATCAACTACCAGATGAAGTATCATCACTAGCAGAAGAAGAATCACCACTAGCATCAACTACAACAAGAAGAGTCATTACCAGCATCAACTACCAGAAGGTGAGTTATCACTAGCATCAACTACCAGAAGATCTGAAGATCAGTTATCACTAGCACTACTTATCAGGTAAAGAATCATCACTCAATTAGATGACTATATCCCTTTAACACCAGTAAAGTTATTATTAATTTTAGTAATAAATCAGTATCTCCACATCAGCCTCCCAGCAAAAATACAACCTTCGCTTTTCTTCTTACAAATAACTTTTGTTCTCATCGATTACATCCATAATCAATACTTTATTTACTGGTTATGATTTATGTAAAATTATTCTAAACACGAATGTCTACTGCATTTGGCCTTGGCCTACAATAATGATGATCGGAAGGACAGGGTTAGTGGTTGTTAGTCACGAAGGGATGAAAAAGTACCTTATTCTAATATTCACAGCTCACAATCGAAATTTGATGTGTACAGAATTATTCTCGTTTGAAAGATAATATGACGATTCGTCTTTTTTTGATACTCCGCCATATATAGAAAAATTAGATGAAAAATGAAAGTATATTCGAAGGAATTATACGATTTTTGTGCAGTTCTGGTAGTTATGAAGACATATATTCAAGAACCGAAACAACCCAAAAATGGCAAACCATGACCTTTAACATTTAACCCACTTCTGAAAACGTGAAATACAGACATTAGGGCCGATCATTTCCAATTACCATGAGCCAATTCTCCAGGGAAAGTCAACCCTTTTATCTCTATCGACATTCTGATTAGTCCATGCCATTTATGTATTTAAATTATTAACGTACGTTCTCAGCAAACTCAGTTCTATTATAGCAACTCTGTTGTCATCAATTTATGCTATAGTATCAAATTAATGATGTGAATGCTATGGAAATAACATAACAACCGACATTACAACCCACTTTCCATGTTTGTTTATGTGATAATTTAAACCGTAATATTAGATTATTCTCGTCCATTTATTTTTATGGGGAACAAATAGGCTGTGAAAATACTGACCATGGTAAATGGCGATGGATCAATTTGATAATCATACTGATGATTTTGATGTTGCTTCTTCAGCCGCTGTTTAAAGCAAAGGTACATGCCAGTACGATTCAAAACAAAACTTTTTTCTTTGTTAGGGTAAGTGTATAGAGTGCGAAAGATGTAGTTCTGGCTTATACAGTTTTGAATAGTTCACACTGCCCCCAAGAAACAATAACTTTCTAGTTCTTTAACGTCTGGGAACGCTTCCAGACCATCTTCACAATGTCAAGCTATTATGAACTTCGTCTTATACCTTGGTTGCAATAGCCACCATCACATAAGGTTGTAAATGAGCTCTCGTTAGAAAATCCGTAAATAATAAGATATGATATATACAATCTTTCTGTCGAGGGCCATGATAAGCTATTTTCGCTAGCATACAATCCAATCAAATCGCTGCATGATACAAGAATAAAGACTATTGCAGTCAAGGTATAAGACGAAGTTCGTAATAGCTTGACAATGTGAAGATACTTCCGGTTTGCATGCGTATTTGCCTTCCTAAACAACACAAGCATTTTTTACAGATTTTAATTAGCAAATAACGTACATTATAGAATCCTTTGTTCACATAAAGTCAGTTTAAATTTCTATATTCCTCGTCATCATATTCACTTTCAACATCAAAGGTTTCAGACTCTGCGTCCATCGAAAATTCCACACGATTTAGAAAACTAATCAATGGATTTGTCAATTTTCATGGTACCGGAAGTACCATTTGAATTCCTGTTGACCTTAGTAATTCAAGGTCACAGTTAACAGTTCAGATGAAGAAACCGATTGCGCTTTATTCAAAATGATATGATTAAAAGTGTTTCACATCGCCAAAATATCACTTCCGCTTTGGATTAACGTCACCAGTCGACTGTGACCTCGAGGCTTGACTTAAAGCAATTAAACGAACCGGTTTTCGTGGAGTGGACGGTGAATACATTTCTCTATGTTTTCTGAATTCTTCAATTGCGACTTCCTCAGCGGATATGATTCCCGGTCGTTTCTTTTCACCACTGACTGGGGCACCAAATGGCATGGACGGATTCTCTTTACCTAGTGTTTCAGATAAATTGTTCATGTGCAGACTTCCTTCCGAGCGGCTTAAATTATCGTCTGATTCCGTAACGGAGTTACCTTCCCGCCTCCGCAATATTAACGGTGACGGTACGTACAAACTATTGGCACTTAATGTTCTCATATCATCAGATATAGATCGGTTTTTACGAGATGTTTTGGGGGTATTCGCATCACATTTTTGAACCATGATGGCGGGAAAAGAACCAGACGATTCCTTGTTGGGTTTTGAATACGCACCGGTGCTCTGACTCAAAGTCTCTTCAACATGTTCCCTGGGTGCTGGTGATGACATAGTTCCTCGAATATCCGTCAGTGAATTGAACTCTACACTATTAACAAGTTTCATATTGCTAGACAGATCTTGGTTGGGGTTTTTGTGCCGTTCTTGTAACAAATGTGCTCTATGGAGACGATCTCCAGAGCCTATTTCCTGCGAACCACGTTGTAACTTGTAAGAGTTGTGTTTTGCACTATCCGCACTTGACGGTTTAAGTGGAGGCAAGTTATAAGCGTTCACCAATTTTTCACTTCGATTCATTATTGTGTTGCGTCTTTTTATAACTTGTTGCTTCTGATGTTCGATATTCCTGGTAGTAGCGCACGCATTCTTGTTGTAACGTTTCACACATACGTTTAGGGTCCGATCATAGAAGCTGCTACCACGTAATATAGCGTATCCAGTTTTACTATGGACTAGACTCACATTGAGAAACGGTTTGAACCTTTTAACATGTAACGCTTTATTAAAAGCCATCAGTGTGATTGTTCTGAGGCAACCAGGTAATATTGATTAGATTTACCTTGAGGAATATACACCAGTAGATCTAGACTATCGATTCGTCCGTCTTGTGACAACCGCCGTCCAATATCCAGTTCCTATTCAACTTTTATAATCAAAGTCTGCAACAAAAGAAAGGAGAAATTCAATAAAGGTCCTTAATAAACTTTATCTTCTCCTCAACGTGAAAACAACAGTTTTTGTTTTGTCTAGATGAGCTACATACAATAAAATTTCTATTTATTTAGACCTTGGTTACAGCTAATGAAAGAGGTATGTATCCTTAAAGAGAACGTAAAATTTTTTTTTTTTTTTATTCAGGGAGTAAAATTTAATCACAAATTTAATGTGAATTAGACACACTTATAGCTTCCATAAGCATCATTTCGATTTCCTTTTCGACGTCTGCGTTGACTGTAATTCCAGAAAAAGCATCACCTGGCCACGTTTTGTCTGGACACACGTTTCAATTACGTCGGACGAAAAATCAAAATACAAGCTTTGCGTATCTCCGATTAAAATAAAAATGTCTAGATAACCTATTAGGAATGGATTTAAATATGAAAGTAGTTTACCAGAACCAAAGATTTGAACAAAAACAAACATTAGCCTGTATTTCTCTTTAATAACTGCAGGAAAATCGACGTCAGTTCTGTTGTTTAGCATTAACTTGTTTAGTGTTGCGAAAACAATGCATTGTGACGCAAAACGTTTGTTTCCATTTATCTATTCATGGCATTATAATGTTTAATAGAACAATGACGTTATTCAATATCCATAGTGTTCAGTGGGGACTCCAAACTAAAATTGTAGTACTATTGAAAGAAAATTGCATGCAGGATTTCAGCCTTTTATTGTCAATTTTCAACTTCGCCCCCAATGTGGATTCGAAAAAATTGCACTGACCCTCCCGATCAAAACTTCTGCTGACGTCACTGATAGTCTTAATATATTGTAGGACAGTTATATTATTAATTAATGCTTTATTCCGATTAATTTGATTACACGTAATATTATCATATAATTATAGTCTGTAGTGTCATCATACTTCATTGAACAACCACGGGTGCGGGCGTAGTTTAGATGAATAATTCTAAACAAACATTATGAGCATTGTGTCAATGTGAACTTGAAGAGATGTCAAGTTGACACACATATTCGCTAAGTGAAATAAGGTGTTCATAGGAAACAGTCATCATTTTAGTCGCAAGGAAATCAAAAGCACCAAAATAAACCGGAAATACGTCATTGTTTAAGGGTAATGGATAATGTTTGCCTTTTTCTGCATCCGTTGTAATGATGATGAAAGTTTTCATTTTCGAGAATTATTCTACTTATAGTCTAATTACACTTCGAAACCTTGAACATAACTTCCGGTTTATGTTTTACATCGTAAACCTTTCAAATTGACTGAATAATTTGGGACCATCATCATGCGAATAGCACCGAATACTTTTATATGTCAAAGAAAAAAAACAAATCCTTAAATGGGCAACAACCAAATTACATTTGTTCTTCGGTGATTATAATAATGCATATAACTGGAGTAGGCAAATAGATGCATCCACTTATTTGGTATGATCTTTGACCTTAATGGGTCCACTTAAGCTGAAGGCATCGAACTCCAAATCCCGGGAGACGTCATGTCATATACAATTTGTCTGTAATATATATACTGTCATATACAGTTTATCTTCACATCTCTTACATAAACATTTTCATATTTTTACCAAAATGGGACATTATCGGGTTTTCTGGCGGTGTGATAAAACCATATAGTGAAAATTGAGTTACGGAGTCAAAATTTCGACAGAAACATCAGGCGACAATTTCAGAAAAAAATATCGTGTTACTTAATGACTTTTTAAAAAATACTTTGATAAAGAACCGGAAAATGTGAGCAATTTATATAACATAAACTATTTCAGCCGACTCGAAAGAGAGAAATGTATCACATGCAAATGCATTCGGCAATCCTCGGCAGTTTTCGCAAACCTGAATCTGTTGCAGAGGGCAAGCAAAACTTTCACGGTAGACTGTTCGATGCAAGTGATAACAGATATAACTGTTAACAATTTTCAATTACGAAGTGAGGTCAAGGACGATACTTCAGAGATTTTAAAATTTGAAAACATGTTTTATCCCACCAAAAGGCAGCGCTCAAAGTTATATAACTATTGACAAAATTTTGATTTTTCCTCATCAAGAGTCGCGGTTTTATCTGCCTTTGTCGTTCCGGTTTTTTTAATTAGCAATTATTTTTGATATAGCCAATTCAGATTTGGCTTCTTGAACGTTTGATAAATAACTTTTTAACTTAACCTGAAGACCCTTGCTTTAACGAATCAAATTCTTTCACTCTCCCACAAAATCCAAGCGTCATCAGGTTATATCAAAGTGTGACGAACGTTCATGAGTCCTGCTGTCTTAAGACCCTTACTGAAGTGGTTATTTCAAAAATAAAATTTGATAAAAAACGGAACTAAAGATTGGTCTAATTTTAATTCTTATGTGTCGACAATAAATCGGATAAAATAGATGTCAAATTCAAAGTTATGGTGGTAAAGGAAGCACAAACTTGTTGGGTTTTTTATTCGATGCCGTGGAAAATTGTAAAAGGATTCATCCACTAACGTGACGAAAAGCTGTAAGCGAAATGTACAACAATATATAATTTTAATGTTTTGATAACACCTGTAGAACACCGAGATAGTGTAAGAAAAAAGTGTTAAATAACACCTCAATATTTTCAGTGAATGCACATTTATCACACAATGACGGCAATATTTTAACAACTACAGAAAATAATGCCTGATGGATAGGATTTAGATTTTTACATTGTTTTAGAATAAAACGTAATGGTGTGAATAAGGATTCTAGATAATTATTTTCAGAGTTTCCATCTGTAATCTTTCTTTACAACCCTTGCTCAAAAGTCTCTAAGATGCGTATATGTCAATTTTTAAAAATCCAGAGGAAATTAGCTAATGCATCTCACTTTTAATGCTGTTGTTCATCTCTCAGAGAGAAGCAGAAAAATAAAGAACGTAAATTTCCGTTTCATTTTGCAGAAGTAAGGCCTGTAACCTAACGTATCTTACATTTGTATGAAAAGTGGCTGGAAAAACATTTCCCTTGGATCATGCATTCTTGATTCGTGCATGCAGCTTACGTCCAACGCTTCTGAAGCATTGAGGTACTCTATGGAGGAAACGTGCCAACTGTTTATCGTTTTCCATCATTCTAGTAAGTACTAGAATGTAAATGTTTAAAGCTATATAATTATATGTTTTGAAATGAGTTAAACTTACCAGACAACGTTGAAATTAATATGAAAACATGGAAATAATAATGCATTTATAAGCCTTGAAACCATACAAACAATATACAGAATGTGACATTTATTTGTCACGAAGAGTAATTAAATATGAGTAAATAATAAAACAATGATTCAATTTGTAATTACATAGGTTATTGTTTGTAGTGGAAGTGTCGGTCATTAGGTACATTGTAAATGTGTATTTATTAATTTTTGCACTTTTAACTGTAAGCCTACTATGAAATTAGCTATAATCATAGCCTCTTCCTATTATTTATAGCATATAAAATATCACTTATACCCCCATCACACCGGACCTCGACCATTTGAGGCCAACAGATGCAATCGTGAAGAAAATACAAGAAAAAATCCCACGAACGCTACGTAGGTCTACCAAGAACTTTGTAGACGCAGTTGGACACAATGGAAGCGCAATGTACGTACTATGAGTCCCTTAAGAACGCCAAGGAGACGGAATTGTCGTGTCAAAAAATCCATGATGCCACGAAGTCACCGTGGAAAATGTAATCGTTTTAATTGAAAATTTGCCAAGCGTGTTGGTGCTAAACTCATGGATTTTAAGACGCCTGTCTAACGACTTTCGTGATTTCATGGCGTTTACCATGTGTTCCAGAACAGATATTCGAACAATGAGGTATGTCCATAACAAACTCGGCGATCATTGGCGATAAAGTTGACCAACATAAGATGTATGGCGCTCCCTATAATACACCCATAGGCCTACCACGCTTATGGCGACCTAACGCACTCTGAATCTGAGCCCATTTTCCGTCGTTGTAGAGCTCAGCACAGTAAGGACGCCTTTCCAATGTGGCAATGAATTTTAAAGGAAATATCTTGTACTGATGCTATAGAATGCCTTCATTCAAAGGTAGGTCATATTAAACCCTCAATATTACCAAATACAAATATGCATGGAGCATTAGATCAAATGTAAAATTTAGCCCTTTCGGCATTATGTTTAAAGAAGGTTTTTTGGCGGCAAAGACGTCGATGAAGAGATCACTTGAATAGGGGCCTCATAATATAATGATTTTGTCATCAAATAATCACTATGATAATTACTTACTTTATCAGATTAAGAGTTCTCTCCCATTATATCAAGATTATTTGATTACTTAGTATTGAACTCTCTAATTAGATAGACTTGGGCTTGGTCTCAATTCGCTGATCCGCGTAAGTCTGCTCTCGGCCTCGGAAGAATTCGCATTCGTCTGCTACAGCTAGTATTGTATAATGAAGTAATGTCTCTCTGAGAGGACAATGGTGTGACGTAAACAGAAGAGTATCGTAATTTCCCATGAGATCACGTTTTGGACAACAACGCCACTGCATAATACGGGAATGTGCGAAAAAGTTGTAAAATAAGCAGACAATAGCCGCGTTTAGAGTGCCATTAATTATCCGGTTAGACTTCACTAAATCCTCATCTTAGTGTGGAGTTTTAAAAGAATTAATGCATATTTTTAAAGGTGGTTTCTCACTTGTAAAAGTTGCAAATTGGTAGTTTAATTCTGTAATATTAGGCCTATGACTCGACCTTGTAGAGGTAATTTCTCCAAAATCTTACGAGCACAATTTTTTGTAAATTGTTACAACAGTCTTACCAGTCATAAACCGAGGTTATTCCTTTAGG